CCATCGCCGCGTAAATGTCAGGAGCGTTGCTCCGAAGCTTGGTGACGACCTTGCGACTAAGTAAGCAAGTCACCACAGGAGGTGATTATTTAATATAAATTAGGGTTGGTGCGAGGGTATTACACCGCTGCAGTCAAGCCGCGCACTTGGTGGCGTCCTCCCAGATCTCTGGCTGGACCTGACCAGACCTCTTGGAAGTCCAAGTCTCGCGCGGCCGGAACAAGACATCGTCCGAGGGTGGAGGCGGCGGTGGCACCATGTTGATGCGAGACATGGCGAAGACGATGAGGACCGGTCTATGGATGTGACCCCGAGCAGACAGGAATCCCAAAGGCGATGTGACACGACATGGTTTTGACCCTGCCGTGAAGTCCTAAAGTCCTAAAGCCTGAGCCTCGTGTCGAAAAGGCAATGCTAAGACTCAGTCCTGATGATGCTGCGGCAATCGATCCAACCACTTGCTCCAAGTGCCCATGCCAAGGCCAAAGTGCGAAAAAGGACACGGCAAACTACAACTGGGATTCGGGCTCCTCGCGGATGTCTGGGACCGAGACAACAGCCAAGACCTGCAAGAAGAGATCAAGGACAGCTAGCCAAAAGCTCGGGTGAATTAGTCCTCGGCCCGAGAAGTCGTCCAACTTAATCTGGACCTGGCCAGACAGATCAAGTCGAAGCTTGGAGCAAAAACCTCAGGATTCTCGGTCCTCGTCGTGACGGAGACACCGCCAAATCCAGACCTGGCAAACGAACAGAGTCCAGCACCAAGGCTGCAGCAGGTGAGTCAGTCCTCGTCCAAAAGAGACGTCCAAATCAATCTAGACCTGGCAAGCAGAAGTCAAGACTAGAAGCAAGTAAAAATTCAGAGTCCTCAGTCCTCGTCGTGGTGACTCTTGCTCTGGGACCCGTGGTCGTGCAGGACGATGAGCGTGTCCCCTGAGATCGGAAAGACAGTTCACTTTAAAGGAACACAAGACTGCAAGAAGCTGTCCGGCCGAGTCGCCCGAGACCTCACATAAGCGCTTCTCGCCGTTGAAACATCGTGACTCGCAGACCTGGGCTGGTCAGCATGGGGCATGGAACACTCGACAGAACATTAGACATTGCTGACATTCTCACTGCGAGCAAGCAGCCTCTGGCGTGGGCCGCTTGACGTCCCTCATCATGAGTATTCCCTCAGCTCTTTCACCATCACTCCATGCCCAATTCGACATCAGACCTGCCGCAGCCCAGATTTAATTGTAGAAGAAGAGAGCACAAAACCCTCAGCAGGAAACGGCCTTGAGACCGCCCCAGACCGTCGATGATGTCCAAAGTCCTGCCATCATGCTGCGAACTGGCTTCGGAATCCTATCACTACAATAAAGAGCCTCCAGACCAACACGGAGCAGCCCATGAGGCCTGCCGCCTCAGCGAACGGGGCCGACATTATTTTAGACTTTACTATTGTCTATAACATGGTAGACAACAGACCTCCATATCGTTAGCGCAATAAACACAATGACGCAAAACACTTGAGCCAATTAAGACTACCCTAAGACTAACTACCATAGTCAGTTTCAATAATTGATAGACCATAGTCAAGTAAGACATGGTACTGACTACACAAACGTGTCGTATGATATACCATACTCGCAAAAAATAGTCAGTAGTAGAACATAGAACATGTCTTGCCATACGGAGCAACATAATGTCTCGTTTTGGCTATAATACGAGGAATGAATATACTGATAGTATTAAATTATATTATAGTAGGCAAGTCGCAGAAGAACATGTCGCTAAAGTAAGACCGTACAGGTTAGTAGGGCTTGTAGTGGAGAATGGAGTGCTAAGATGCATGCAACATACAGTAAAGAATAGCATGGTTGTGTTTAACAGCTGTGCATGCTGTGTAGTAACTAGTCTAATATTAACAGTATTACGGTATGGACTCTTACAATGTAGTAATAAACTATCGCATAAAAATACAACACAAACGATCTTTAACAAGACCTCTTGATACACTACCACATCCTAAAGCGATACTTTTCATGTGACATAAGTTAAGTAATATGGTAAAGACCCGTATGCCATCATGCCGTACAGTATTTATGTACACTCGTACATAGCTCATGATGTGTGCATAATAATACGAGTAGCATGGTTTACACTGGGAGGCATACCGGGATCACGAGTCCACACAAGACAAGACAAAGACATAAAGACCTAATAATATCACACCACAACAGTAACAATAATCACAAACACACAAGACATGGTGACATGGACCAACAAGAACTCATGTCACCTACATACGGCATTCTTGCACAACACATAATGCAAAGACAATGCAACCTAAGAGACCTAGTAACATGCAACATGACCAGACAGACGATCTACAACAAAAAAGACATGTAGACAATAGTCAATAGTCTGACTAGACATGTAGACAATAATCAATAGGTTAATGTAATAGCGGGTCTTGCGCAGACCCAAAATTGGTCGGTGGGTCTTGCCCAGACCTCACCTCTCCTAGACACAACCCTAACCTAGCGCAGCTCAAGTCAACCCTGCCTTGTACCTACTGACCCTGCCTTGTGCCTAGTGGGAGACCTCCTCGCAGACCTAGACCTAACACAACAACAAGTCCTTGAGCTGCGTCCTAAACACGGCCACTAACCTAGACCTAGTCACTTAATCCTTAGACCTAGAGGGAAGAGGGGAGAGGCAGCAGGCAGGCACGCACAGGTAGGGTTTAGGGTTTATTATTTATTAAGGTTAGGGTTTAGGGTTCAGGGTTAGGGTTTAAGTAGGGGCAGGGCAAAGGGATAGGAGCAGGCAAAGCAGGGGCAGCAGCAGGGGCAGGGGCAGCAAGGCAGCCTAGACCTAGACTAGTTACAGGGCTGGGGTCGCTCGGTCGTGCGCGGACCGAGCGACCCCGGGGGTGGTCTTGCACAGACCAAAAACCCGGGGTCTTGCACAGACCCATATACCCTGAACACTAAACCCGCGCCTCGAAGTCCTCCAGGGGGTTTGCGTGGGATTAGGGCTTAGGGTAAGGGTGGAGGCCTATAAGCAAGCCCAGAAGCCAACCCTACACCCTTTTAACAACCCTAGCACTGGACGCCAAACCCTAAAAAACCTAAGACATGCCCTTAGCCTACTAAAGTCCCATACCCTACATTTCCAAACAACCTCTAAAGCCCTGAACCCCAAGCCCTATAAAGCCTAAGACAAGCTAAGAATCTTAACCTAACAAAACATTGCAACAGACCCCGCAAGCCAAGCCCGCGACCCTACAATATGAACAACCCAAGCCCTGAACACGAAGCCCTATTACTATAAAGCCCAACATGCCCCAAGCCCGAGATCCTACACTTGATTTAACAACCTAAGCCTTGAACCTCAAGCCCTTTAAAACCTGCCGAAGATCCAAACGAACCCCAAGCCCGAGACCCTTACATCCTATAAACCCTTTTAATCCCCAAGCCCTACAAAGCCCAAGCCCCAACCCTATACATATATATATATATACACATACATATATATATACATATATGTGCACATAAACTTTTATATATGCATATATATATATATGCATATATATATATATGCATATATACATATATATGTATATTATAATTATGTATATGAACATGTTACGTATAGCCCCAGCCCTAAAACCTTAGGCCCTCGCCGAGCTGCCTTTCGCTGAGGCATTGGTTCCAGTCCTGCGTTCGGGCTTAAGGCTCAGGGTTTAGGGTTTACGTTGAGATTGATTAAACTAAAGTAAAACCCTGCATTTGAACCCCCAAGCACTTGAACCCGTAATCCCCAAACCTGTGCCCAACCCCCCCGCCCATCCCTCCCCCAACTGTCCTTGATCATGTTTCGCCAGCCGCGGCGCGAGGCTTCAAGGCATGGGTCTTGTGGGGTCTTAGACTGAAGACCAAAAAGACCCCAAGACCTTTGCCCTGCATCCCAAACACCGCACATCCAAAGACCTTCGAGTAAGTTCAGACCTTCTGAAAAAAAAAGCACAAACCTTCCTAAATCCAAAGACCTGTGAACAAATCCAAAGCGACTTCTAAGGACACACATGACATGGACCTGGGATTGCCCACCAAACGAAGTCTAATGATATGTTGAAGCTTGTTGTGGAAAGTTCGTTTGGTGACATCCCTCGAACATAGACAGCTATTGGCGAGTTGAGACCCACAGACCCTTTCAAACATATACAACTATTGGCGAGTTGAGACCCACAGACCCTTTCAAACATATACAACTATTGGCGAGTTGAGACCCACAGACCCTGTCAAACATATACAACTATTGGCGAGTTGAGACCCACAAACCCTTTCAAACATATACAACTATTGGCGAGTTGAGACCCACAAACCCTTTCAAACATATACAACTATTGGCGAGTTGTTGAGACCCACAGAGACCCCATAAAATAAAAAATGTTCGAAAGGTCCACCCAGTATGACTGCCCGATCGGTCAATTCACACATTGAACTGAAGCCCACCCATCCATTACCCCGCCCCGCCCACTTTGCAGTCATCCCGCCAAGCTTAAGCTTGTCTTCGACGATCTATCCTTGATGGCTGCTCTCAAGTCTCCAAGAACCGCTTGCATGGTCGAGTCGCAAACACTTGACCAAATCTCTTTGGACCGCCTGAGTGGTGCTTGAGGGATCTAATCATCAGGCGGAAGGCAGAAGGTGCCGGCGAGGTCGTTGCCCCGTCGGCCAGGCAACCGATCGAGATTGTCACCGATCGAGATTGTCACCAATGTTGAGTATCCAATAGCCTCGGGGTCGCTGAGCCATAGGACTCGGTTAAATGTCAACCGATGGCTCTGCCTGAGTGTGTATTTGCAAATGTACGTGGTCAAAAATGTATGAGCAAATTACGTGCGTGTGTGTGTGTGTGCGCGCACTCTTTTGCACGCCGTGTGCGTAAAGTCTGTATGCAGGAACCTACGTAGTAGAGGCATCACCAATTTCTGCTTTAACTGTGTCCTGGGCTGAGCCATCGGAGTCGAAGAATGCCAGGCGGTAGCGATGCAGGAAATTGCGGGGACACCTGGTCGCCAAGTCTGGCTCGGTAGCTTGAGCATGCAGAGTCCCAGCTAGTTGCACTGCTGGATGCATCGCTGGGCTCTCAACACCATGGGAAGCTTGATCGCAAAATACGTGACACAGTCATCCATGAGTAGACTCGAGTAGAAACCAAGCAGTGATTTATGACGCGACTACCTATAAAAAATACAACCCGTATAGCATTGAATAGGCTAATCAGCCACCATCATCTCTTTGTGAAAAAGCTCTACCATGACGGACATCATGAGCCGAACATTTATCGCCACCTCTGTCCTCGTCCTCATCATGCTGTGAAGGTGATTTGACGGTGCTCAGGCTAAGGCGGAGGCACCCGCTGCTAGCACTCCCTGTGCCTGTGAACGTACAAGCATGAAACCCCGCACAACCCTGCAACGGATGGTCGGTCCCCGAGGCCGTAGCCACTGCCGATCTTCGTTGAAGATTTCCGCTTCGGTGTACTTGCCATCACAAACCTCGGAGAACTGCCCCTCCGCCCTCAAATCCTGACGCAGCCCTATGCTCTGGACGGGAGTTGAAGTTGATACTTACGGCAGCTTACAATATCGCAGGTGCTCCTGCTGCCACCGCTTCAGACACAAGGATTTTTGACGATAACCTGTCCCCCCTTCACTTCACAAGCCTGCGTGATGCAGTAGGGATGTATGTAAGTCATGCGCAGAAGCCGACGGCTTTGCTGGGAGGCATTGGGACACGGGCGAGGAATACAGCGTGAGCGATACTGACAAGCCTGCGCAACGATGAGTCGTCGCTTAGAGGCTTAGAGGACGGTGAGGCTTGACCAGATATTTATCGTGACATTTCTTGCTATTGCTCGGTTATCCGTGTTTTGCCCCCTTGTCCACCACACCCTACAAGTATCTGCAGCACAGGAGCCGTCGGATGGCCAACGAAAGCCAGGTGTGCCCGGATTTGGTGACGCCTGTCAACTAATCAGAATGCACACAACCTGTGGCGAGAGAGACCGCATCCGAAGGGCACGCAAAACTTGCTAGGCAAGTGTGACCACGTTCTGGGGCGGGGGTGAGGATCCGGCACTTGCTAGCATCGCGGAAAGCGCCTTCCTGTTCGGATGCGGATGGCCACTAAGCTGAGCTTCCTGTCCACGATGTAGAAATGCCTGTTGCCATTCTTGCATACATACTACTGCCATTGTCAGCTTGCCCGAATAACACACTCCCGATTTGAGATAGGATGCTGAAGCACGGGGATGGCCTACCATGATCAATCCAGAAGACTGTGTGCGGTCGTGGTGCCCAAGAGTCTTCACGAAAGTCACCGAAGGCCTCCGGAATCAGACTAATTATCATCTCTTGCATCTACAGCCTGGAGTTGTCAGGCGCAAACATTTCGTTGCAGGTAGTTTTTCACTCTCCTTTCAGAGGGAGAGGGGCCATTGCACTCAAAACCAGCTGCACCTGCTTCGACGTGCAGGGCTCTGCCATGTCAAGATGGCAAGGCTTCGTCTTAGACAAGGGTACGAACACCTGCCGACTCGGTGCCTACGCTTATCCATCAGGGGAAATTAGGCCGATGTTGTGTGTAGCAACACAACCTCGATCTTGCGACACATCTACACCAGGTGGGTTTACGTGGACAATGTGGTAACACATCAAAAAGCTCTTGGAGGGCAAGGCTTTCCGGAAACAGCACCTGCAAAACACACGCACACACAACCTGCCCGCACTTTTGGACTAAACGCAACATGGTGTGGAAGGACCGCCCTCCTGGCAGGGATCCTGCAAAATGTCATTTGGGCTGACGGAGCTTCTGGCTTCTGTGCCGGACACTTCGCGGGCAAACATGGGATTTATCAATTCCAGCCAAACATGCAGCCATTTCGAGGAGAAGCAGAGAATGTGTAAATTTGACCTGGGTCGCAATTTAGCTCTTCGGGCCAATTTTTGTGGGAAAATGCGAACTTGCAAATGCATCGCAGGATCCGCGATGCCCTTGTGGCTACAAGCTGCTACTGATGCTTTCTGAACAGCCGAGCAGACCGATGCTCGATTCGGTCGTCGAGCAACTGAGACTATGTCGTTACAGCTGAAATCAACCACGGCGTGCAAGTTTTGACCTCTCTGGCATCAACAATGGGACTCTACTTGGGTATCATATCGTGCTAGCGAAGGAAAGGCATTTCCGTGTTGATTGAAAACACACATGAGCTCAGGCAACTCTGTACCACAAAGAGCGACACTAGTCTGGAACAGTCGCATGCTGGTCACATGAGATATCGAGATCACACTAACACTGAACCTTCCACCCGCCGCTCTGACGAGTAATCCCGACAAAGCTAAGAAACCTTGGGGAAAAAAGCCTCTGAAGGAAGCCACTGACGGCTTAAGTACAGCCACAATGCCTCCCCTGCTGCGTCTCTTGAAGCCTGTGCATTGTGAAGCAGTAGCAGGATAAATGAACCCCGGTCCATCACCTTCCCGTCCGCGCGACGCGGCTGGGAAGATTACCGTCTTGTCGCCAGTGAAGAACACGGGCCTTGATTGACGCGAACGCATGCTTGACGGTTCTTGACAGAGTTGCTTTCTTGCTCAACATGTTTTCTACCACGTGGAGTTTCAATGTGCGAAGCTGTGCGCGCCTAGTACAAGTATAGTTAGCTCGACAGAGAGCGCAGGACCGGGGTCTTGAACATCACTTGGACTCGGGGGCAGGTACTGCCCCTCCAACGACCCGACAATGCGATGCTTTGGACAATGGCAGCCCTCGCGCTTGCCCAGCCTGCAACATGCATCAACAATCGATACCAGAAAGGCTTCCTCCATCTGTTCTGCACCTGCTATCAAACTATGAAACTTGCCTTAGCTGAAGATGCAGCCCAGAAGCATTGATTTCCTGACGTGGCAGGGATATACCACGTAGAAAGCAATGGCTTTCTTTCCACGAGTCCGTAAGTGCACATTGCGAGGATGCATAGCAAGTGCGACATATTGTTGAAGTTAGTGATGTAAAGTGCTTTGCTAGTGCTGTTGCGCTCTGCTTGGTTTGTTCCGGCCCTCGCGACATAAAGCAAGCCGACACCCTCCACCAAGCAGCGAAGGCATCAGCAAGGCTGTGCTTGGCAGCACCGAGTTCCAGCCCATGATACTACATCAGCGATTTCCTGGTTGTCGTTCGCAGGTGTTGACCTGCTGCCCTTCTGGAGTCAGGTAAACGCAGCGTTTATCCAGCTAGTTTGGAACAGAAGCTCCCGCCGTTCAAGAAGGAAACTAAGGAGCCCCCGTTATCTGCTTACAGTTCGCAGTGGGTTCGGAACACTGTCTCTGTCTTCAAAGTTCAAAGCACTAACGCGATCACAAGTAGTCATTGAAGCCCGTCTGCTAGCAACCCGGGTTGCTGCAAAGAGGACCGTTCCAAAGCGAAGATGGGCAACACTCCAGGATCCCAAGTACAACCACTCCGCTCGTGCAAGGCAAAGCGAAGAAACAAGCGATCATACGTTCGTCTTTACTGTATCTTTCTTATAGAGGTGAGCTCGCTACCACCTTGATTCTGTAGAAGCTGGGCGTCTTCGCATGCCGTCGACAGCCAACCTGAGCCAATCTAACTTGAATACATCTCCTAAAGCGCAAACCCGACAAGAACCGTATCTGGTTCGCAACTCCTATGTAAGCTCCTAACATAAACAAGCCTTTCCAACCAGAAAGTGTGTCAGGCCTGCTGAACCTTAGCTTGTGTCTCCCAGGCTTATGCCGTAACTCGTTCACAACCCATCAAGACTCGGTCAACCTCGCCGAAGAACCCTCAGCACAGAGTACACGGAAGCTGAGTATGTACGGCAAGCACCCTTTGAGCTGGTAGGAAGTAGACACTCCTACCAAAAACTGAGGCCCTGGAGGAGGAGAGACAGAAAGAGGCAAGATTGAGGAGACACAGAGCGGAGAGAAAAGGCCAAGAAGAGACCCCCCCTCAACCACTTAGACACCACCCTTCCGCCCGCCCGCGGCTTTGGCCCAAGGGGAGGGGGGGTAACTCGTTTAATACTCAGGAACCCACAATGTCTGAGCAGAAGCAGCCCACATTGAAAGGGCAACCTGAATAAAGCCGCACGGATCCTTTTTAATGCACGCATTTGCTCCTATTCCGCTCCTCCAGCCAACCGTCCGCATCCAACGACGGCCTGACAAGAAAAGCAGACCAAGCCATTGATGCACGAGCTTAGACATTTCTTGACTTGCAACGCGCAGATGTCCAAAACATTTTCCCACTCAACACATACGACCCACTACCAGCCTACAGCAGCTCGTGGTGGAGGTGCCTGATTTAGGGACCGACGCTGTCACGAGGAGATCCGACATGAAGGAGGCATCCAAACATCCAAGGCACAACCATGCTAAAGCATGATGGGGCGCAGCCCGACGAAGTAGGTGACAAACCTGAGCTGCTCCACACCGCTGAGCGATCAAAGGTCGGCCCCTGCGACGATAGCAACAACGCCTGTAACAGTGGGCCGTCCCAGTGACCAATCGGACAGCACCACCTGCAGCTATCGCCGAGACCGAAAGGAAGCCCAGAAGGAGAAGCACCTGCGGCTTTTTTGCCGTTGAAGGGAGGACCTAAAATCTGGCAAACAAGACACCTGTCTGTTGCCCGGTGCTCAGCACCGCAACTTGACTGACTGCCAAGCAGTTTCGGTGACTTGAGCCAGGTTACCTAGCTCCGGCCGAAGACCCAGATCGTATCCTCCTAGCTCCGGCCGAAGACCCAGATCGTATCCTCCCAAAAGACCACATCGCAAGCCCTGGGCATGGTCCCACCTGCAGCGCTCGATCTCGACGCTTTCGCCGGCGTGCTGCAGTAAATGAGAGCTCCCCGTCCTGGAACAAGGCCTGGGATGCATCAAATGGTCTGTTAGAGTCTGTCAAACGTCATTCGTAGTTCCCGGAATCATGGACCAATGTTTGTGGCGGATTCCGGAGAAGTCTTGCCCCCCTGTACATGTGGCTTCGACTCTCGATGCACATAGCGCTCAGCAATCTAGGCCCACCCGATGCTCCGTAAATTAATTGCAAAGTCAAGCACTGCCACACTGGCAGACGCTGCTCTGACGGTCTAGGGCTTGTGCCAGGCCGGCACAGTTCGCTCCACAATCGTGCGCCAAACTCATCCAAGAAACCAAGATGGAGGGTCCGAAAATGGCCGGCAAAGCTTTGCTGAAGATGCTGTCCTTTGGGTCTGTGAGGGTTTGCTTGGCGAGTGAAGCTGGGAAGTAAAGTATCGCTCACAACCGTCCACCCGACAAGCAGGAGTATGGCTCTGTGCGAGTTCATAAAGCCGATAAATAAAGCCATATTCATGAACACAATCGGCGTTAGGGATCTCATTCTCTTAGATCTGCGTCCGGGTGCTCGAGAACTACTGGTGGATGGCAGCATGCATGGATATCAGTGAGTTAATGACTTTTGTTGGCGACCTTTGGATTCGGGCACGTTACAGGCTGGTTACAGGCGGGTATAGTTTTCAACTGATACGAATTCGAAACATTTACGTTACATCTACGTTCTTTTTAGGGCTCAACGCCCTTTGCTGCCTGCAGCTTTCGTACTGCGTGCCAGCCAGGAGTCTAGCACCAAGGGCAGGACAAAAGCCAGGGCAAACCGCAGGTCCGTTGGCTGGTCGAAGCGACCTGGGTGGTGTGAACAACGATGCTCAGAACAAGAAGCTGACATCATCACTAGACCTTTGCTGGGGTTCAGACACTCTAGCGTGGAACCAAGTACTAGCGGTACTAGCGAAGGTAGAAACTCCAGGGTTTCAGTGGTAGAAGCAGTAGAGGTACAGCCCTGGAGCATCCTTGCAACTGACTGTTGGACCACGGGCTGTTGACGTTTTCGCATGAAGCAATGTGACCTGGCTGTTCGCAGCTTGGGCGGCGAGGCTGGTTGGGTGCATTGGGCTGAAGTTCGGGCTCCTTCTCGCAGGCCCTTTCCCGGGCTAAACCAGAAACCGCTTCTTCTCAAGGATGGAGAGGATACAGGATACACGACTATCGAGGAGTGTATCAGCATGATAGGGAACATCTTGATTAAACAGAGGAGGAATCTAGCGAGTCGAGAAGCATGACCATGACATGCTGAGAAGTCAGGAAGAGCAAGTATTACAACAGGAATACAGATGCGGGATTTTGCTGCGTGGAATCTTCCAGAAGACGAGCGCAAGCCCAAGCCATCACTGCAAGTGACTGCGCCAAGAAGTCGGACGCATTGCTAAGGAAACCCAACACCACAACGGCACGACGCAAATGCAATAATGTGAAACAGAAAGGAACGTAGGCAGGCAAGGCAAACGAACACTAAGACGGCTCGAACAGTATGTGTGATGTTGATGATTCATGGAACTTTTACGAGATGCTTCAGCCCGAGCTTGCGCATCAGGAAAGCTATAGTCATCTGGCTTTCGCAACAAGTTTGCCCTGAACTTTGTGATTACATGTTCGGTGTGCAAGGTCGCAGTAGCAAGGGTTCGACGATATTCTCATGGGTTGCAATGCCACATGGGTTCAAATGGCGTGGCTGCTCCCAGAATCAGCCTGGTAACCTAGTATTTGTAGACATGCTTCGACAAAAGGGTGGAAGATAAACAGCTACGCCTGCAACTCTACTGGTAATGAAGATGCAGCCCCAAGCACTTAGGAGTAGCCAATGACTCGTGATCGACTTGATTACTCGGTGTAGATGATCAAAGCTGCTGTCCAATGCCTGTGCGTCACAATACAACCGCAGAAGTGAAACGCCTATGCGCGACTGGCCGAGCATTTTGTGGTCAAGGCACGCTGGCACTCCACCAGGCACTTTGCCTCCGGAGCACGGCGCCTTCGCCGAGATCGCGCGACCAAATGTTCATGTTGCATAAGGGCAGCAAGTAGCCGGAAAGCCACTGCAAGCTTCCGGCGTTACTACCCTCTGAGCTCTGAGACTTAGGGAGGTTTTTGGCCCAATAAGGTATTTCTCAGTGGGCCGACTCTTGTGATCGCTTGCGTTGTGGTTGCCGCGGCAGGGCTCCGTCTGCCAGTAGCACCCCAGCGCGCAAGGTCTCATTGTTCTCGCCGCCATAATGGTCGCAGCATGTTGCAGCAGCAAGTCCCCCACCACCAACCTATTCGGGTTTCCATGAGAACATTCTTCCAGTTTTGCAAAAACCATTTATTTCATTCCGAAGTCCGAACGGACGGGTCGAACTGAAAGGAGCAAGGGGAGAAGACACCGTTCCGGCCGTTCCGGTGCTTCGAAGCAGATTCCGTTCAGAGCCTGCCCATTCCACCCTCAAGTGAGAAGTCAGGCTTTACAAGACCACTGCCTAGTCGAGGGTTAAGAAAGCCATAGAGGCACATGTCTGCGACGAACCACTTCGTAAACCCGATGGTGGCGAGGATGGGGCAATCACTTAGCAGGGCTGTTGATGCCGCTCGCCGTCGCCATCACCGTCTTCGTCGCCGTCATCGGTAGCGTTGTTGGTGGCGGTGCTGATTTTCTCTTAGCTGTCCGAATTGCTCGCTGTATTGCTTTCGGTGTTGCTGTCGATGGTGGTTGCGATTGCCGTTGATGGCTCTGTCGGTTTGCTTGCCACTGCTTGTGCTTGAAATCGCGCTGCCATCGAAGTCGCGGTGGCGCTTCTTGTGCTGTTGCTGATGAGGCTGTGGTATTGTTGTTGCCGCTGTTGCTGTCGTTGATGCTGCTGCTGCTGCGGTTCTTGTTGTTGTTGCTGCTGCTGCAGCAGCTGCTGCTGCTGGCGGTCTTGCTGTTGTTGTCGTTGCTATTGCTGTCGTCGTCGTCGGTGATAGTGCCGTGCCGGAGTGGCAGAGCTGGTAGTGCTGGTGGCCGTCTTGTGTCGGAAGGAAGCCCAGCCTCGGGCGTCCTGAACAAGTTCACCCCATGAACTGCCAAACCAGCGGGGGCGGACCGTGAGGAAAAGCAAACCCTGTGCCCTGGCATCGCACCCAAGCCTGCTGTACAGCTGCAAGGCTTCGTGAGGATCGCAGCCTGCCTCCTCCAGGCCTTCACAAAAAGGCAACACTTTCAGGCTTCCAGGTTGTTGTGGCTCCATATAGGCATACAGTAGCAAATTTCAGTACCATGCAGTAGTCGCCAAAAAAAGACGGCATAATCACAAACGCTCAGCTTAGCAATGCCATGTGTCTGTAGCACACACAGTACTATATGCTGCAGACACGCTGGCGATTTATCGTATTCTTGCACTGCGAAGACGACGAACAGACAAGCAACGACTGCACCTTTCCGTCCAAGCTGCATTCATCGAGAACACTGATGTCCTCGAAGCCACTGTTCAAACCAAGTCCTCAGCTTGGGTGTGGCCTGCTGCCAGCGGCTGCATGTTCCCAAGGCACCAGCACAGGCCATGAACATAGCACATGCCTGTGCATGATGCGCTGCCTGGCGTCTAGAATCTGTACATTGGAAGCCCCTAGGTACATGCCACGCACCACTCAGCACAAGCGACCGAAAAAGGGCTTCACGGAGTGGATCGCATCGCCGAGGAGACAACTCTTCCCATCTGTGCCAGGCCGTGAGGGCAGTTCTTTAGAGTTCCAGCCGGCATATCTTTTTGTGGAGGTGAGTCGCCGAAACTTTCACCTCCCTATAAGAAACATTGAATTACGAAAACCATCAAGGTCTAGATACACAGCTTCAATCTGAAGAAGTAGATGCCGTGATAACTACACAGCTTGCTAGGAATCCACCTTGGTTGTTCCTCAACCTTCCTCCACAAATTAACGTTGCCGGCCAGTGCGCGCGCGGCATTGTGATAGTTAGTACGGCGTCTGTTTTTAAATATACGGATATTTAAATAGGTTAAACAGGTATACTACACTACCTCCGTGAAACATCGCCCGGGCCCGCCTCGAAATAAAATATCCGGAGATTGGCAGATGATTGGTGGGTTTGGGGTTTAGGATTTTGGGGTTTAAGGTTTAAGGGTCTAGGGTTCAGGTAGAAGCCAAAACCTTTCAGCTTTAGGTTCAAGCCAAACCGAGCCAGCCCTCCAGCCTTGCTCAAGCCTTCCAGCCTTCCTCCAGCCCCAAGCCCCAGCCCTCCAGCTTCCAGCCTTCCAGCCAGTTTTCAACCTTCCCAGCCCAGCCCCAGCCCTCCAGTCCCAGCCTTCCTCCAGCCCCAAGCCCCAGCCCTCCAGCCCCCCTCCAGCCCTCCAGCCTTCCAACCTTCCAGTTTTCAAGCCTTCCTTTAGCCCAGCCCTCCAGCCTTCCAGTTTTCCAAATCCACCCTTTTTTTGATTGCCGCGCCCGCAACCATTGGAGCGTTGGAAGCCTGGAACGCTGGAAGGCTGGAAGGCTGGAGGGCTGGAAGGCTGGAAGGCCGGAAGGCTGGAAGGCTGGAAGGCTGTGAAGGCTGGAAGGCTGGAAGGCTGGAAGGCTGGAAGGCTGGAAGGCTGGAAGGCTGAAGGCTGGAAGGCTGGAAGGCTGGAAGGCTGGAAGGCTGGAAGGCTGGAAGGCTGGAAGGCTGGAAGGCTGGAGGGCTGGAAGGCTGGAAGGCTGGAAGGCTGGAAGGCTGGAGGCTGGAAGGCTGGAGGGCTGGGCTGGGGCTGAAGGCTGGAAGGCTGGAGGGCTGGAGGGCTGGAGGAAGGCTGGAGGAAAGGTAGGAAGGCTGGCTGGAGCCCTCCAGCCCTTGCAGTCTCCAGCCTTCAACCCCTCAAGCCCTAAACCCCTTCCAGCATTCCAGCCTTCAGCTTTTTAAGACTGAAGGCTAGATCACGTCATACTGGGATTTAAATATACGGATTTAAACAAATATTTTATACGACCTCTGCGGCCAGTTCGGCTGGCCGGGCCCCCACATATTTAAAAAACGTCACCGTACATCTGTGCAAACCACAGCTCAGTCTCATTATCGTGATTGTTTCTGCCTGGTAAATACATCTTCTTCGTGCCACCCATACAACGCATGCAAACATCGGGACATATCAGGACAACGAAAACGGAGGCAACATTTCAGTAAACATGACAGGACACATGGAGCGCCTAGGCTCAGCTGCGGCCCAGCGAAGGCAAACTGCGGTAGTTCACGCGTACGCCTTCTTGCGAAAGCTTCCCACCTTTGCAAAGCTGCCTACATTGCATCCGGCTCAACTGCCTGAGGCCTTGCGTCAACGTGGCGGTGGCTACTTCTGTCTTGCTGAAAAGCCTGATCCGCCTTCACGGCCTGCAATCACTCGTTTGAAGCCAATCCGAAGTAATGCCTGGCGACCCTGCACTCGCTCCCTGGAAAAGCCCGTACCTGATCTCAGTCAGTCCTCGACAGTGAATACAACACCACTCCCCCTCAAGCCTCAACACCCTAAACCCTAAGCCCGTGTTTTCACGGCTGCCAGCTGCCCGAATTGCTATCGAGGAGACTCATGGTCCGGGATGAGAGGTGTGGGCCACTCCGGGAACAACTCCTGGAACCTCGCCAAAGGAATCTGATTTTGTATGGAAACTTGAGCGACAAGCATACTGCAGCAGCTACTAATAAAATACGCTTCAGGTGTGCACTGCTTCCAACACCTACTGGGAACAGAACGAGCTCAGAAACAGTTCAAGTTGAAGTGCAATCCGTTATGGTGGTGCTGATACGAGCCTTTTGCCAGTCTACACATGCAATGACATCGAAAGGGGCATTGGCATCTCTAACGACAAACACTATGTCATCATGCTAGATTATACGCTGTCGTCGCTCATTGCAGTACTCGCAAAAACCTCTGACTCACTTCAGCACCGAAAATGCAATCAAGACCGCTTCCAGTAGTGGGTCTTTACCCCTTTCGGCTAATGCATCTTTCCAGGGGGCACTGCTTTGGCCTCAGCTCCTGCAAAGTCAAGCCCTTTTGAGGCCGACAGCTCGAGATTTGGAGGTCCGGACAACTCCTACTTGGGACTCTCGCCAGGACGCCGGCTGCGACCCAACCCGAACCCTCCAAACCTTCCGAATCCCAGGCGCACCGCCACTTCAACCCCCACGCCCTATTCTCAGAAGTCTCACGGCCCAGCTCGCCCGTCCGCTCCTGAATTCAAACCTGGGCCAACTCTGGAACCGGGTGTGGTATCTCGGTATCCGGGAGGTCTCTGATTTAGTTATATAAGTCAGCAGATTTGTGGCTCCAGGTTCTTGGGTCATCTCTTGGGTCGACGGTCTTTGCGGGCGATGAGGACTTCTCGAGGTTAAGGTCTCGGGAACTGAGGAAGAGTCGCAGGACTGCGAAGCCGAGGAGCCCTGTATTCGTTCGTCCGTTGGCCGGAAGAGGATGACGCCAAGCAGGCTCCCCTCGACATTGGGAAGCGCCTCCACGATTACCTCAGATCTGTGCTTCTACTATTTGCTTGGTACTTATATGCTGCAAAACTCAACCTGTGCGCTACGATGCGAGAACGGACCAAGAATGTGAAATAACCCGCCGACACGCCTCTCCGAGCCTCCACACCCACCCACACATTCCCCCGGGTGTGGAATAGCAGCTTGCGGTCCAGCTCGGAATTTCTACCTAAGTGGCCTTATGACGCTGCCGAGCTGCATTGTCGTTTCGCGCTGAGTAGTTCAAATCTGTCCGATCGCCTTCAGCAGTGGGGATCGCCAGCACTCGGTAGACGATCGGCCGCCGATCCTAGAAAGGTACTGATGGCACTCCAACACCGCCTGCAAGGATGTCAATGCCTTTGCTGAACTTGAACTTCTGAATGAAGTGCTGCAGGGGGCGGTTCAGGTCTTACTAATCACACTGCAGCGGATACGCACGAGAAAACCTTGAGGCCGCAGGTTCTATGCTTCTGGTGTGCAATTCCTATCAACCCAGGTAGTGGGTATATACGATTCTCTTACCGCCGATGCATCTGCTGCAATCTTTCGTGAATGCTCTGAAAGAACCCAAACGAGCCAAAGTGCTTGCCGCGAATCTCTTCACTGCCATTAGATATAACCAGACACAAAAAGCAGCCGAGGCTCTGCAAAGCGGCTCTGGTTTGCTGCCACGCCTTGCTCACATAAAGCCTGGACAGGAGGGCCGAAGCTCCGACTCAGTAACCTCACTGTAACCTCTGCAACCCAGCCCAGGCCCAAGCCGCTTCTGTAAGGTATGGTGTTGCTGCTTCGAGTTGTTGTTGGCCGCGTCGTTGTTCGTCGTAAAGCTTGTTGTTGTCCTGCACTCTGTCTTTCTGTCCACTTCCCACACGCCTTCGGCCCCTGCCAGACGACCCGCTGGCAGCAGAATGAAAAGGGCATGGAGAGTTGGAGAACCCAAACAACGCAGCTTCAGGATTCTGCCCCTTTTCTCCCCACATCGGCTAGGGTCGTCTGGCTGCCGGGGCGAACAACAAACACTTGACTCATGTCTGAGGCCAAAACTAAACCATTTAACTATTTAACTCATCAAACGTGTTGGTCTCTCTCCACCTCTCACTCCGACTTCTGCCTCTCCGTCCGGCTGCTGCTGGAGGGCTGGGCTGGAGGGCTGGAGGCTGGAGATGTTTCAGAAATCTACTCAGACCCTGAGCCGATCTGAAACCTCTTTTAGTCGAAATGTCCCAACAAAAAACTGCCAGGGTCCGATCCGATGCACGCCCTCTTGTTATTGAAAGGATCGGCCGTACTTATTTAAATTTTTTAAGTATACTTACAGGTATCCATGATTGCATACATGCATGAAAGTGTACGTACATGCGTACCTACATACGTACACATACATGCATTTACACATGCACACATAGCCTAATGTATACTTGTATACCTATCTGCCTATACTTACGTATGCACGAGTTTGTATGTAAAGGTGGATATGTATGTACTTCTGTACGTACTTTATGTTCGAGTAAGCACGGTCGTATGTATGTAGGTGTGCAGGCATGCATGGACGTATGTATGTGATGGACGTATGTATGTGTGTTTGGTATATGTATACATATCATATCATATCATATCATATCATATATATATATATATATATATATATGTTTACGTGTGTGTGTGTGTGTGTGTCTGTGTGTGTTTGTGTGTGTGTGTGTGTGTCTCCGTGTGCTTGTCCCTCCGTCTGTCTCTCTGTCCGTCCGTCCGGCTGTCCGTAGGTATATATATATATATATATATATATATGTATGTAAAGTATAGGTATGCAGGCAGGTAGCTAGGTTAGGTATGCATGTATGTGTATCCATGTCATCTATGAACCTATGTACTGTTCATGCATACGTATGTATATATATATATATATATATATTATATAATACATACGGAACGCACATACATACATACATACATACAGACATAACCTTACATACGTATATACATAAATTTTTGGCACGCGCACTCGAAAAAGTCAGGCGAGGTTTCAGGCAACAGACCAACTTTCAGAGGCAAGAACATACATACGCACCTGCATGCATACACATGCACATGCATACACGCGTGAATGCCTACCTACCTACCTACCCCTACCCCTACCTGCGTACATACATATAACACACACACACACACACACACATGCACACTCCATCCAGGCAGCCAGCCAGCCGTTCATCCATCAACCCATCCATGCATACGTACATGTACACAGAGGTCGGTACATCGGAAATCGCATGATATCGCATAGACAAAGCAGATGCCGAAGTAGATGTCATGTATGTATGAAACCGTGCGTGCATACAGAATCTCGCTCTCTGCGATTGGGCCTGGCGAACCGCTGATGCCACGCCATCCGCTCCCACCACGATGTCCGCCTACCCGGTTCGTGAAAGGATGTGGTACTGCTTTTTGGTTGGTGACCCTCTATAATCAGTTGCGTCGGGGATTTTATTCATTACTCTGTCCGAAGCTGGCGAACAACTGCGCTATAGAGAGTGACAGCGACTGCTGAAGTCCGCCCTACATGCAAGACTGGCGAAGCAGATCGATTTGTCTCTCGCGGCAGGCGGTCCGCGTCGGCTACAGGCAGCGCCTGCACGAACCACCCTGTCCCTGGCAACCGAGTTCCCGTTTCGCGAGAAAAGGCCGTCATGCAAATAATGAAGGAACGAGATGCCAGGCATACCCAATGTTTCGTGGCTGCCCATCTTCCCATGTCTGCCGGACTCCCTCTGGCCCTGCAATCTCTGGTAAGTCATCAGGCCGCCGTAGCCTTAAGCTTGGCCGTGACCGTGCTTAGCAAGCCTCACTTGGTCATGGTAGTGGCCGCACGCGAAGGTGACCATGGCCACCTGATGAACAATGGCCACTGTGTCTGCGAAGCAGCGGGACATGCTGGAGACACTGGAAAACCCAAGCACGGCTCCGGAAATTCATGCTCAAAATCCGTACAACAAAATTTCAAAATGCAAGCGGGTAGTACGGCATCCTGAATTGGCATGAATCAAACGATCAGACCCTGGCGCAATTCACTTCGTCGTTTGCTCAATGTTCTCGGGCTGCCCTTTTTCACGAAGCTGCCCGCCACACAAATAATCACGGTGTCTTGGCACTCCAGGTCCTCCGGAGCGTCCTACGACCTATGATGCATTGCAAGGAAACCTCAATTCCCAGCCGGCCTGGTACATCTTGCTCCTTTCGATACCTGCGTCTGCCACGTCAAGCTTTCCGCGTCAGGAAGATCGAATAGGCCGGGTACTGGTACAGGAAGGACCGCTTCTCCTTTCTCAGAAAACTTCATGCACGCGCCGCTTCAGCTAAAGCGATCCCACAGTCCTTGAGAACACGAGCGTCCGGCGGGAAGAGGTATCCTTCGTTGTCTGCACATAACAGATTTAACATGTGCCACAACTACCGCGACCTCCTGCAGTCGGGTTCGGGGCTTGGCCACAGCGGGCGTCGTGAGACACCAGGAGGGCCCCTTGCCGAAGGCTCGCCTTGCCCTTTCAAGCCTTTCTCTGTTGTTGAGCGAGCTATGCGAGCTCGGACCCGGCAAGAACCGCAGGCAAGGAACCATCTTCCACTGCGTCGAAGTCCACAACTACGCCGCCCTCACCAATGCCGTCATGTTCCTTCACGAAAGCATCGCCTGGTCACCACAGCTCGCAGGCTTGGAATCTCGGAGCCTGCCCTCAAAACGGGTGCTGTCGGACTGTATCATGGTTTCAAAGCTCTGCAAAATTACAACTACACTACTGTATGCACATGCAAAGCCGCAACGCAGCAAACACGGATGACAGAAAATGGGAGCGGCAGTCAGGCTCTCAGACCTGCTCGTGCAGAGGCCATGGCTGACAGTGTGCTCATCACCGTCAACACCACAACTACTGCTCACGACACCTCCCTGCAACCCTCGGAGAGGCCCAACCTTGCTTCTTTGACCAAAACCCTCCAACAGCATCTGAGGTCGGCTCTCTCCTGGAAGCACTTCAACCACTCCTCAGCAACATGGGAAGTGCGGTCGGTTGAGCAACCACCCACAATCTCTAAGGCACACCCATCACCCATGTACGATTCAAAGCTGTGGCAAATCGATCCCAACTAGCCGCACGCTTGAAGAGAAAAGTGGCCACAGTGCCAACTGCACGCCAAACTAGTTCTGACATTCAAGTGATTCTAGTAGGGGTACATGATATCAACAAAATACGACTGAACTCCGAGCCCCCCGGTCTGAAATCCTATGCCCGAACCTTCTCACCAGCGGCCTCACTAACAAAGTCTGCGCATGGATACAAGCTGCCCAGTTGTTCATGACGGGGCCGTGGTTCCAACCCAGGAAGGCCTTACCTTCACAGGATCTCGCACGTTGTGTGCTGCAAGACTTCGGGCTCCAATTCATGAAAATGGAACCCTCAACCGCCTCAGCCCTGTAGATCTAAGACTACACTTCAACTATGTGGGGGGCGGCAAGACCGACTGTCCGATAGTCTTCCACGCGGAAACACCACTTCGCCAAAGAGGCAAACCACACGTTGCCTAATGCTAGCTCGCCATACGGTACAGAAAAGTATGGAGACACTTGGCGGCTCTGTGATCAGTGCAGGAATTCGCGACTTGTGTCGCTCACAGGGCGTTACAACTCAACTCTAAAGCTGATTGCTCGATACATAGGCTTGCAGAGGCTTGTCCAGGACATTACGGCCGCAAGGGCCAACGGCGAGCAAACACACGGCACTCTATCGCACGCCCTTCGCGGATTCCGGCATGTCATTTACTCTTTGGAACTCCGGAAATAATGGTCGTAGCGGTACTGGTGGCAATAGCAAAGTAGAGGGAGTAGTCGTGGTAGGACGGGTATGACTAATCGTCGTCGTGCAAGCCGGGCCACAAATACAGTCCATACTGGCTTTCAACATGAGAAACAGGAGCAATCCATCCCAAGAATTCTGGAGATCCAGCAGCAAATCAGTCAGTGGAATGGACAAGGAACATTGAACATCAGGCGCAAGCCGCTTGCGAACTGTGCAGGAGGTTATTCAACTGAAACAAGTCCACACACAGAGTGCTAATGAAGCATTCTCGGCATTGTAGATATCTCGGCCTCCAATCTTCAGCTTACGCATCAGCTGGATGCCAACCTTACCTGGGATGGCAGGATTCGAGGGACTCCCCTCTTTGTTAATTGTTATGGTCGTGAATCATGTTGCTTTACGACAGCCGTCCCCAGCCAGAGGGTCCGCGTAGACTTGCACTCAAGTCTTCTTGGTCAACGTTTCGGGCGTTTGTGTGGCACTTTCCTGCATCTTCTCAACGTTGGAGCTTGTCATTTACGTCTCAGCGAGACGCAATGCATGTTTTCTCGCTTCTGACGGGCATGACAGGGAAGCCGATCGTCGGCTGCTCCTGTTCGTTCATGCCAAGACAGATGTGTCACATGTCCCAGGCCGAGCCTCGACAAGTCCGGAACCAATCGAAAGATGCTACGTCACATGGCCACATCAAACACCCGGCAATCCAACCCAAATCCTGCTGAGCTCAACGCATTGGTCCAACTTTGTGAGGTGATAGATGGAGGCGTACGAGATCACATAGTCGAAGGTATCCTGTTGCTTTCGTGCTGATGACATCTTTCTCTCTCTATGTATGCATGCATGCATCATGCATACACAGATACACAACAATCGACCTGTATGTACGTATATTAACGTCAGAATGAGTACCTGTGCAAAACTGTTGAATGCCTGCTAATCTGCTTGGATGCATATACAGGTGCATCCCCCTGCTCTCTCTCTCTCTCTTCGCTTCGCTTCGCTTCGCTTCGCTTCTCGAGGGGAGAGTCCGCGTTCACGGACCCGGGCCAAGGCCCCCTCTCTCCACTTCGTTGGTGGTAGAAAGGGCTTTTGGGGCCAGAGGTCGGAAAACTGTCCCTATGGGATGTGTGAGTTGTGGAGATTGCCTGGTAGGGACCCCCCCCGACCCTGAACACTAGCCCGCATCCCGGCCTCATCACCGCGCCCTCTAAGGCTAAATCCTCAGTCCCTACACCAGGCAATTTCCCCCCACTTCGAAACAGGCATACGGCGGTAGCTCCCCAACAAGCACTAGTGAAAGGCTAAGACACAAGTTATGGGTTGGCTCCCCCGTTGCAAAAAGCCTCCATCAAGGTTCCTATTGAAAGGTTTAGCGAAAAGGACGGCGGGACTCAGTCTCGATGCCAATTTTGTGCATTCGGTGCATGGTTGGGGGCGTACGGCCCCGTTGGCAACAGGTTTGTGTGGCTCCAGCGGCCCGTCTTGAATTAAGCGTATCGTACAATGGAGAAAGACCTCCGAGGCGACCTCGCACCAAACAAATCGCCCCACACAACCAACTAACCAACAAACCAGGCCGGCCTCGAATCCCCCTCTCACTGCTTGAAAAATTGTGTGCTGCGCCCACTCCGTTTCAGTGTTGGACCTAGTCGTGTACCCCTCTCTTCGTCGGGCCATGTACTCCTGTACCTCCCTCACTTGCCAGCCTATGCTCGGCACCAGGTTCGTTGTTGGTCTTCCCCTGGTACCACGTTGTGCTGCAACACTTGGCTCCGCGGTTCCCCCGCCAGTGCTCTGGGCTCTCCTTCTGGCTCGGCGGGTCTCCTGCGGTCAGCTGTGTGCCTTCTTGGAGGTTCCCCCAGTGGCTCCGCTGGCTTCGTTTGGTTACCTTCTCGGTCTGAAGGTCTGCCTTCTGCTCCCCACGGCCATTGTGAGTCAACGTCCTGGTAGCCGTGGTAGTCCTCCTCGTCGTGTCCCCCCGGGGTTGCACCTTGGTCGTCGTCGTCTGCGCGCCGCGGCGCCTCCCCGTCCTCATCTGCTTGGCTGGTTTCGCTTCCCCAGTCTGGTGGTGTATCCGAGGCACTGTCCTCCTTTTTCGCACTGGTCGTTGCCGCCCCCCTTGAGCTGCTGGCTGTCTCTGTCGGCTTGGTTGTGGTCGGTACGGCCTCCTCGTCTGGTACGCGGTGTGGGTCCCCCTTCGTGGCTTGGTGCTGTGCTGCCCACGTCCCCCGCTGTGCTTGCTTCTTCTTCTTCTTCACCTTGCGGGCATCCTTCAGGAGTTTTGGGATGCGGTGAGGGAAACGCATTATGAAGGCACGCGTCTCGTTGGTGATGCGGGGCATGAACTCGTCCGTGATCTTCACCAACTTGCCTGCTGCTGCTCCTAGGGCTCGGCGTTGGGAAAGCCTCCCCCTATAGCCAGCGTAGGCCTCCCTGTCGTTCTCCCCCAGTGGCTCCCCCTTCTCGTCGTAGAGCTCCCAGGTCTCATCGTTGTGCTGTACGTTGCGCCCGATCCATACATCGAGCGGGCTTGGGTGGAAGAGAAGGTCAAGTCCCCCACGTGTTTCGTGCTGCACCATGAGGTCAAGGCTTGGCGCACGCCTGGAAGAGGAGCTAGCTTCCCCCCCTCCCCGCCTTGTTGTGCTCGTGGCTTTCCTTTGGGGCTGGCCACTGAAACATTGGCTAAGCTCTTAACTCCGTGCAGCCGACACGCCGGATCGCTTCTCACATGCACCTTTCGCATGCCGGGTTTGCAGATCCCCCCAGCTTCCCTGCATAGTCGACATTGCATCTTCCCAGGAAGTTTGCCTTGGGTTCCGCGAGGATGTAGTATGCCCGTCCCCCCCTACTGACGGGCCACCCCCCGAAGGAGGGCCGTGGTCAAGGGGTCCGGTGAGCGAAAAACCCTTAGGGCCACTTAAGCAAAATGAGCAGCGGCGTGTGACTCAAGCGCCGCAGGGGAAAGCAACACGGCTCTCCTAAGGCGTACAACCTTAGGCCAACCGCTTGCCTCCCGCCCCGTACCAAGGAGGGTTTACAGTCCCCCAAGGCAAAGGTGCGGACACTTGAGCCAACACACTCTCTCTCTCTCTCTCTTTCTCTCTCTCTTCTTGCTTCTTTGCTAGGGGCTTGGAGCGGGAGCAGTCCTCCTTCTCTCTCTCTCTCTCTCTCTCTCTCTCTCCTCTGTCCCTCTGACTAGTCTTGTCGTCTCTTCCGTTCTTCCCTGTTTTGCTTGGGTGGAGTTGGTGAAGGGCATAGAAACGAAGAGTAACCTTGTCTTGTTGCTTATCTTTCTCACTTGCGTCATGCTCATGCAGTCAGACACATCTAGAAACTGAAACAGAAAGAAACATCACAGACAACACTTGCACAAATGTTGCGCGTTACTTTGCATCCTACTGTGCAAGCTATTTCGGCTAGCGGGTCGGGTCAGCCCCAAAAAAAGAGAGACGTGCTCCAAACTCAGGTGCAAAACAGCTTCGCAACATCTTGTCGATACCGCGATGGCATAACTGAAGATGCTCGGCGGAGTGCAACGGATACTGGAGCAAGAACGAACATCTGGCTGAATAATGCTGAATATGCCCCCGACCTCTGGGATCCATCCCAGCTCTCGGCCATCGCCCTGACAGAACTTCCCCGCCGAGTAAAGCTGGGCCCAGCGTGCCGCTGGCTCCTGGTCAAACAATGTTCGGATGTTCGGGTATGCTCGGGCTTGGGGTGCAGGTGCGGGACCGGTTTTTTTTGAACGAGATGTCGTCAAGAAATGCCTCAAGATTCCCGATGCCCTGCCTGGATCTCCACACCTAAGCCGTCCACATCGAACAGCATCTTTGCCCAAGACAACCTTTGCTTCAAGAGGTAGCCGTTGCTGCAGGGGATTGCAGGGGTCTGGAGGCTACCGGCCGTGCAACATCAGCCTGCAGAGTCATGCGTGGCAGGAACCATCAATGCCTCATGACAGACCCTGCGGACACTACGACGGATCTAGTCGTGCTGAGTGGCATCCTTGATTTGCCTGCTGTTTTGAAGTTCAATAGTCCTTTATCCTGAAGGCTGAAAACAGCAATGATAGGAAGATCAGCTTTATTGCTCTGAGACATCGGCTAGCTACCGGGACCTGCGACATCCTGCGACTTACTTTCCCTAGATCCGACAGAAAGATACTGATAAACCATCAATTAGCTGGCCGTGAAAGGCATTCGCATCCGACACAACCACAAACTCCTGCGCAAACACAAACGGTCCGAGGCTCTTGTGACCACAGCCCGAGCCCCAGTCCAACACCAGCTGACCTGCAGGTTCACAACGCCAATAAAACCACCGACTTTAGAAGATGGAATTAGTAACTTAATTAATAACAGGACTTGGATAAGTTGTGTCTCACGTGACTGAGGGGAGCTGACGGGACCTGCAAAAACACAACTTTACTCTTTGTCGAAATTGACGCTTGGCATGCGCCTGGCCGAAACCCCAGCCAGTGGCCAACGGTGATCAGCACCTGAGGCCCAAGAAGGCTTTAAGTCTGGCGTACAAGATGTAATACCGCAAACTTCCGTATGTGCTCCCAGAATTTGTGCTTTCTGGCTTCCAAAGTAGGACCGCAAAGGACGGAAACAAGCTACGCCTCGAAAACATCCCGTCGGCGAAAGACCGGACACCGACAGAAGCCAAAGAGGTCTCCGAAACATCCCATCCTGCATCTTTAGCAAGGCTGCGCACTTGTGGATGTCGCTCATCGCTTCGTTCCACATACCCCGGGAATCTTGGCACTGTAGCCTCAGCTATGAGCTTACCAGCATTGCTATCACAGGGCACCTGTGACATCCTGTGACCAGAAGACGTCAATGCGCACAAACTTCAAGAGCAGCTGATATGCGGCAAGCGGCTGATTTGCCCGGTTGCTGTACTTCTGGATCTTCCGAGCCAGCTCCTCGTCTACAGACCTCTGCTTTATCAGGTGCGGATGTCGAACCCGATCATCTGTTTCCGACGGTGAGTTGGCCAAACCGGTGTGTATATAGATATATATGGGTGAGAACAACCAACAAATCAGCTGCGTGCATGTTCGCATGGCAGGGTATACTGATTGATTGATTGATTGATTGATGGATGGATTGATTGAGCGCCTGTGCGCGTGAGGGACTGTCGCCAGCCGCTAGCACAGAAGGGACACCAGGATTTGGGGAAAGCTCTGTTTCAACGATTGTTGCGCCCAGAGGCGAAATGCGGTCAAGGCGCGCAGTCGATGCCGGACAATTGATATGATCCTTGTGGCAGACATGCAGTCGGAGCTCTTTTGCTTTCCTTTCCCGGCTCAACCACTGCATGTTTCAAACCCGCAAGCGGAGGCAGGTTGTGCTATGCATTGAGATGGTCTTGCTCTCCATCATATTGGTGTACCCCCTCGCTTGGAAGGCCTACAAAGTAACAGTCTGTGGCCCTGCCGACCATGTACACATCCCGGAACCAACAGATCGACAAGCAGGAAATGAGCTCGAATTCGGCCAGGGCTTCTATGACGGTGGAGCTCCGATCTGGAACTCCCACATTCCTGACGTTTTCGAAGAAGACGTGGACATGTCAACGTGCCGTCTGCAGGGGTTTCCGGGGAAAGGTCTGCAAGCGCGGTGTCTACCTGCTTGCTACCATGCGGATACACCCAGAATGTGCACTGTCGGGGACAGAGCTTCAAGGCATTGCACTCGTGCGGGCTTGACCCTGAGCTCTGTCACACACGCACACATGAGCGCGCACACTAAACACATCTCGATCTCGGTGTGTCTGTGTGCAGGTGTGTCGGTGTGTTCGTATGTATGTTCGTATGTACGACATAAGCAATACATAGATATATGAATGAAAGAACGAGTCGATGAAAAAACAAGAAAGAAAGATGTAACGAAACAACGCAAGAATGAATTCCTTGCTTCCTTTAGTTTGCGTCCTGTTGTTTAGTGCGTATGTCCAGTGACAGTGGGTCGGTATGGTATGTTTGTCTCGTCGTGGATGTGTACAGGTACATGCACATGCAATTGCATGTGGAATCTGACATGTTAGTGTATGCGCATGACAAGAAGCCAAACTCCATCACAGGAACACAGTCTTCGGGACCGTACCATGAAACCAAAAACACCAAAGCTCATAGGCCACGAAATGAGCAAATTCATCGAGACAGTCCCAAAAATAAAAACACACAAAGATCCCGGAACCTCTCCGAAATTGGAAATGACATTATTTCGAGACAGTCCCAAAACAAAAACACCAAAGCTTATAGGCCACGAAATGAGCATAGACAATCAAAAAAACATTAAAAACCAAAGATTCCGGAACCTCTCTGAGATTGGAAATGAGCAAATTCTTCGAGACAGTCCCAAATAAAACAAACCATGCAAAACCCATAGGCCACGAAATGAGCATATTATCGAGACAGGCTCAAAAAAAACAACAAAGGATTCCAAACCATTGGAGCTGTTTCGAGAAATCGCCTTTGGGATAGTTCTGAATCTTCGTTTATTTTGGTTGGTTTGGTACTGCCTCGATGAATATGCTCATTTAGACGCCTATGGGTTTTGTTTGTTTTTGTTTTTCGGGACTGTCTTGAAGAATATGCTCATTTCCTGGCCTATGGGTTTTGGTACTTTTGGTTTTTTGGGTCTCGAGAAATGGCCTTTGGTTTGAATCTTTGGTTTTTCCTTTCTTGGGGGACTGTCTCGGTGAATATGCTTCTCCGATTTCGGAGAGTTGGGCCACCAAGGGCAAATCCTTAGTTGCACGTATACAGACTCTAAACAAACAGGTTCGTTCATTCTCCAGGGCATTTTATAGGTTTGTCGTTAGGGTTTTCTATGGGGTTTAGAGAAGGTATCCGACACAGGGCGTGTAGGCTATGGGGTATTGCACATGGTATTCAATAAGGTCTATAGTGGGCATATTGTGTAATGTATTTCCCTGGCATAATATAGGGTGTTCCGTAAGACGGTGTATAAGGAATTCTACAAGGCATAAAAGCAAACGTAAAAAATGTATTGTTGAACGCATTATCATCTATAATCTATATTCAATAAGGTGCATATAAGGTATATATAGAGGGTATTCTAGCATGTATTACTTAGGTTAATCTATATGAAACTTTTGAAGGTCCGTAGAAGGAATCTTTTGTAAGGTATTTTATGGACAATTAATTCTCTTCGATTCCTGATTCTTTCCTGGAGACCCATTGCCCAATAAACTACAGTTGTATGGGGGGATTCTCAGATCTCGGGCTCGTCCGGATTGCTCTTATACATATCGTTTATTGTTCGAAAAGTTCTCTGAAGGGTATCATGCAGTTTTAGAGTGTTAGGGTATATACACGGTATAAAGGCGTGGTCACATATAGGGTCATAGGGGGTTTCTTAATGTATTCTATAGGGTATTCCAGATGGTCTTCCATAAGGCATACGATAAACAGAGGGTGTCATACATTCCATAAGGTATTTTGCAAGGTATTCTATGTCGTATTCCACAGGGTGTTCCACAAGTTATTGTATAAGGTATTCTATAGGTAGATATACGTGGCTTTTCTTGAAAAATATGTTATACGGTATTCTAAAGGCTATAGGGTATTCAATAAGGCATTAAGGTATTCTATATTACGGTACTATATATCAAAGTTTCCAAGGGCAATAGAGGACGCATTCAAAAGGTATTCTACGTAGTGGACTGTATAGGGTGTCAGGTATACGCAATATGAGGCGTGCGGGATCATATATAGGTGGTCTTGCATAAAGTACATATCTTACACGGTGTTCCAGATTGTGTTTTATAAGGTGTGTGTGTATATACACTGGGTAAAAGAGTGGAATTGTGCAATCTATTGGTTCTTCCACAAGGTATTGTAGAAGGTATTCTGTAGCATAGTTTTCCCACACGGCATGCATTCGTACACGACTGCGTCTCGTGTTGCTAAAGAACACAAACTTGCACGTATGTTCCGTGTGCATCTACCCAAGCAGATTGTCTGCGTTGGAATAACATTTTTAATTGTACAGAATGGCATACAAACAGTCAAAGTGCGGATTCTCGGAGGGGTAGCGTGTATATATATATATATATATATATATATATATATATATATATATGCATTTATGTCGTTGCCTGCTTGCCTTCTTGCCTGCCTGCCTGGGTGCATGCTTGCTTGTGGGTGGGTGGGTGGGTGGGTGGGTGTGGGGGTGTGTGGGTGTGTGGGTGGGTGGGCGGGTGGGTGGGTGGGTGGGTGGGTGGCTGGGTGGCTGGGTGGCTGGGTGGCTGGGTGGCTGGGTGGCTGGGTGGCTGGGTGCGTGGGTGCGTGGGTACGTGGGTGCGTGGGTGCGTGGGTGGGTGGGTGGG